GGGGGGAGGGTGAGAGAAAGAGTCACGTGAGAGAGTAAAGCTTGACTAATGCGAGCCGGGGCCGCGGTCGTCTCGCGATCATTACTCATTTGTCACCCGGTGGATCGGTCCCCCGGAATATCGGGGCCCTCTGTTTCCTCTACGCTTTTCCCGGCTGTCTCCAGCCATCCCCGCCACCATCTTCTTTCGCAACCTTAGACGACCTACCGGGGGATGATTGATTTTTCTCGACGCGACGTGATTTCCTTGAATGCGGGTGGTATAAATGTTTTTCTAATCGGTTTCCTTTGGAATTAGTGATTGGAGCTGCGATACGTTTGTCGTTCAATTAATATCGAGATCGAACTGGTATAATTAACACTAGAACTGGTAGATTGGACAAAATCACCTATTCTTCATTTCTTCGTTTTCTAATTATTAAAGAAATGACACGTGTTTCTCTGAGGAACGATTGAGGATATTGATTTAGCAGAATGCGAACTGAATTGTAGAGCAATTAGAGTCCCGATAGATGCGCTCTTGGAGTTTTTGTAAAGGAATTTCAAGAAGTCGATTTAACTGCTTGGTAGTTTTAATGTTGATGTTTCTTTTGTTGCGGACTTGTTATTCGACACTGTGATATCGAGATCAAACTGGTATAATTAATGTTTCTTTCTTTATAGATTCGAGCAGTCGCTTTGATTGAAAATTTGAAAGGGTAGAGTTTCTAATTGATCTAAAGATTCTAAAGATTGATCGAGACATTCTAAACATTCTAACTGAGCTAAACATTCTTCTTCAAACATAGCATTGAGATCTATTACAAGTATCTTATTTCATGAGATCAAGATGAAAATAACACAACTTATTTTCGTTTCCTTAAACATTGGAATACTCACTTCAATAGAGATTTTAAAAGGGCACAGTGTCTAGTTGATCTAGATTAGATTTTTCTTCAAAGTTAATATACATTTACCAACACTCATTTAATGAGATCAAGATGAAACTAACACAATTAATTTTCGTTTCCTTAAACATTGGAATACTCACTTCAATAGAGATTTTAAAAGGGCACAGTGTCTAGTTGATCTAGATTAGATTTTTCTTCAAAGTTAATATACATTTACCAACACTCATTTAATGAGATCAAGATGAAACTAGCGAAGCTAATTTCCCTTTTCTGATAGATTCATTTCGGTTTTATCTTACGCTACGATGGATATATGATAAGGCCTGGGTTAGCCAGGACTCTTCAGAGTTCAACGGCAATAAGGTTACGATCAATGTAATGGTTCACCATTTACTGTCGCCGGTGATGGGATCCTAAGCTAAAAGTACGGGTCCTGGGGCTTACCTCCTGGAGAAAGCAGCCTCGCAGTGCGTGCATCGATATCTTCGATCTCCCGTGTGCAGCTTCACGTGTCGATCTCTGCTGCGTTTGTGCTTGAACAGTCTGGCGCACCAGCTGCATCGGTAGGGCATTTGATCGCCGTGGCTCTGAAACGTTCGTACGAACATAATCCGTTTATCAGTAATCGCAGAACATCGATAACTTCGTATTATTGTAAGTTAATGTGAAATTCAATGGACCAATTGGAATTAATCAAAACATCCTTCTGCGTCGAACAGGTTTCCATTACCAGAATCACGATAATTGATTCGAACACTCCATCGATAACCTTTCAACTAAATGCATTTACATTTCAACAAATTACCCCATCCAAACGCGATGAACAATGGAACTAATCTAAATTACTAAACCTAGACTATATCGATCATCCATTTTCCTTTAAAAACTTCAGCACAAACTCAAGATCGCTTATCAACGTTACCTATAGTTTAATTAGAACAACCAAGTAGTCAAATTAGTCGCTCAGAAGACAATGCAGCTAAGTCAATTTTTGTATACATGCTGATGTTTGTAAATTTCAATAGAATAAATAATATTCTGTTATTCAAAGATTTACTCGTTTCTTTTTTCTAGGTCAGAAACTCCTTTGTTTTATAGCTTCCGAATATACGGTACAATCATTTCACAAAACATTAATTCTCACAATTTTTCTTTCATAGACTCAACCACGTCAGCTTCCGAGTGACTGAAATACGACTTCACCTAATTTCAATTTTAATTGAACCAATTAAAATTTAAAACCCAATTTAAATTGAATTATAAATCAATTAAAATCTCAACAGGCGCAATTTACAGTTTCCAGGAATTTCGAAAGGTCGATTTAACCCCTTGCCCTATAATCTCTTTCTCAATTCTGATCGATACGACAACATTGTCATTATTAATTTATTGGAAAAGGAGAAAAATTCGAAGCATATGCTATACCTCTGTTTCCTTTTAAGTAAGTTGATCACAGAAGAATAACATTTAACACGTTAACTGCCATGACAATTCTGACCATTTTGTACATTAATACTTATTCTTCCGTAACAATGACAAAAGATACTAAAAATAATTATTACCAACTTATTATCAAAGTGCTAATGTTACACTATTATCTAATTACTTATGTTACTAAGTATTCTTTCTCGACATCAATTTTTTTAGTGTAACTGCATTCAAGCAATTTGGAAGCTCCGGTCATCGATGACCAGCGTAGCAGTCAACGTGTTAATTTGAATTAGAATGAACTGAATAATATTTATGTTCGTTGAATCATATTGAAAATCTTCACCACGAGGCCGGCACGTTGTTATAAGCTAAGGGGTTAACTGCTCGGTAGTTTTAGTGTTAACCCTTTGAACTCTGGCTCCAATATTGCACCAGTTATAATATTAAATATTTTAATGAATCTTAAAGAAGCTACTCTAAAATTATTAGATTCTCCACATCCAAATTTTCTACTAAGACGGAAAATAAAAGACCGAAGAAATGTTACAGCATTTCTCATTTTCGCTAGGAATACTATAAAAATTACTTGCAGTTGCTGATAGATTACAAAACAACCCGGAGTGCTAAGTGCTAAGCCTTTGCACTTGAAAGCTTTTGACTGGAAATATTCATTTTCCGACGAGATATAGTCGACATTGTTTGAAACTGATTTTGACAATAATTCACAAATAAATCAAGCAATAAAGTTATGTTACTTAAATGTTTCACATAACAATACAACGCTTAATTTAACCCTCTATAGGCTCGTGTGACTTTGAAGTCACACATCAATATACCGGGTTAAATTGACTTATTTAATTTTTTATTGTAAAACGACGAACGACATTAAATAATTAATCAACTTAAACTTTTGTACACGCAGGCGTTTACGTTCAACGTCATTGTAACTTCAAAGTTACAAAGTATATTCGTTTCAATAAAATTATTGAAACTATTGAATACATTGTTAATTTGCGTTCATATGTTGATATTTATTAATTTCATACTGCATAAATTTTGTTACATCCACGAAAAAAAATTCGGCCCATAGAGGGTTAAAATACTAAATATTCAACTTCGTGGTTTTGCTGTATCAAATAAAGCGCTAACTGAGAGTCACCTCGCGAGTGCAAAGGGTTGAGCGTGTACATATAGACGTTTCGTATCGACAGTGATCGACGAAAAACGCGGAGCAAGACATGATCCCGCGATTCGTTAGACACGCCAGGAGCAGTGGTGGTCCGAAGAGAGAAAGCGGTGGGGAGATCGACGAGTAAGAAACTCCTCTGACGAGAAGTTCCCCCGGTGGTTGTCACCCAGGTAGATCACTGTGACCGATATGATCGCGAACGGGTCGGGTCATTCTCTTTGTCCGGTCGTTTTTTCCTCTTGATTCCCTTCCCCGTGTCTCGCTCTGACGAGGCCGGACTCGCGATGCTCTCTTTTCGGAGTCGGTGTTCGTCGGCCGGCGGAGTAAGCTCGGCACGTACGAGACTTTCGAGCCGTTTCGTCGGCTCCTTTGAAGAGACAATCCGGACGGACGGAAGGGCGAAGCCCGATCGCCCGTCGTTCGTCGTGGAAGACGAACTCTCCCGTCACGACAGGAGAGCCGGAAGCCTCTCGCCTCTCGGGGAGAGACGGCTCGCGGAGAGAAAGCGTCGAAGAAAGCCAACGCGATTGACAGTGATTGTAAAACTGGACGGGCAAAAACCGCGACGCCGATTCGATACGACCCGCGACACTTCCTCGGGGATTAGGAAGCGTGGCCGGTGTCTTTCACTTTTTATAGTCGCTTCGCGAAAGATGAAGATAAAGGGTGAGAAAAGGGAAATTGGTCGATGCTCGTGGAAGATGCGATTTGGGAATGTTTTTGGTTTATTGGAAGATGACGTTTGTAAAGGGAGTAGGTGTTCGATGTTTGTAGGATTGTTTAATTTATGTTTCTTGGAGGGTAGAGCGGAGGCAACGTTTGACGCTGGAAGTATCGTTTGAGGGATGAAGATGTATCCCGGGGTTCTGATTTTATGAGTTTTGAAAGATACAATGGAAAGGATAGCAATTGAAATGTTAACACTAGACCAAATGGGTTATATTTATCTATTTCTGAATTCTTATTCCCTAGTTATTAGAAAGGTAACAGATGCTCCTCTGCGAAATTACTAGAGGAATTGATTAAGTACGCGAATTGAATCGTAAGTCAATTGAAATGTCAATAGCTGCGTTCTTAGAGTTCCTATATAAGAATTTGAAAATATCAATTTGCTCGATAGTTTTAGTGTTAATGAAGTGTCTTTCGTAGGTTGTATAAGAAAATGTATGTTCGGCGATTTGATTGCCTCGGTAGTTTTGATGTGAATCGACGCGAATCTTGAATCGATTCAATTGTCCGTAAATAAAAGAGATACTGTATTACCTTTGAAAAGATATAATAAAAAGAAAACAAATCGAAATCTCAATGAAGTCATTTTTGTGGTTTGTATAAGAAAATGTAAATTTGACGATTTGATTGCCTCGGTAGTTCTAGTGCAAATCGACGCGAATCTTGAATCGATTCGATTGTCCATAAATAAAAGCGATACTTTACAACCTTCGGAAAGATACAATAAAAGGAAAATAAACTGAAATCTCAATGAAGTCAGTTTTGTAGAAGAAAATGTATGTTTACGATTTGATTGCTCGGTAATTATGACGTGAATCGATTCGATCCGATTGTCCATAAGCAAAAACGATACGACACCTTCAGAATTCCTTTCGTTTTATTATCTTGTAGAATTTGAAACGTTTAAAAAGGTTCTCTATCTCGGCCATCGAAGTATCTAAGCGGGAGCCGCGATTCAACTCGCGTGCTTCTTATCGAGCCTGAAAAGTCCATAGGAACCCGAACCAGGAGAACCACCTGGACGAACTACCTGACCGGTACAACCTGTTATGGGACGACGGTACAGATTCTGACCCGACGATGGCCCGGCGGACGTCGGCTTGACACGGAAGAGAGCTTTGCCATCTAATGCCACCGCCATGCAAAACAGAAAAATTCGAATTTGCCACGCGTCCGCCACGCCTTTTGCTACTTTGCTCCTTTCTATCCGGAGTAGACCAGTTGTTGCCACGTAGATGTCGCAGCTCGGCTTGATAAGAAGTATCTCTTCTACTTGCTAACGATGTTGGTTCGTTGAACGTTGAACGACAGATTCACGCGAGATATACGCTGATTTATAATACTTATGACTGGAACTTAGTTATCGATCCAATAAATCATTTTGTAAAGGATCAATAGTTACACTTTGACACTAGAACCACCGAGCACTTAACCTTTCACCTTATAACAACGTGTTAGACTCGTGGTGAGTATTTTAAAGAATTTCGCAAGCATAAATATTACTCAATTCTTTACAATTCAAATGAAATATTATTCTTCTGTTATTAATTATACTTTGGAGAAGATATTGTATATAGAATATGCCTAGAATTTTTCTTTCTCAATAAATTAGTAATGACAAAGTACTGATCATAATTGAGAGATAAATCATAGGACAAGAGGTTAAACCGTCTTTTAAAATTTCTTTATGAAAGTTATAAGCGTGAATTTATTACGATTTCAATTGGCTTGTATTTTAGTTTACGTATTCCTAAATCAACTTCTTTAATCATTTCTTAAAGTGTCTGTACCTTTACAGTAATTGTAAAAGAAGGAAATAGGAATTGGTCATTTTGATCTGGTAGTTCTAGCGTTAATCATCTCTATTGTCTCGTCAGTCAGATTACAGTTTCCTCGAATCCGTGCTATATTTTATATACGATCACGTGCAAAGATGTCCGTCGAATTACCTGTTCGTGCTTCTTCAGGTAGCTCAGTCGCGGAAAAGTGCGGTCGCAGAATTGACAAGGATAAGGCGCGGTGGCGTTGTTCCCGTCGGCGTTGACGCCAACGTCGGCATCGACTTCGGGTTCCGACGGGAAGCTGGCGGATGTTGGAGTCGCACAGGACGACGGTGTCTCTCCGCCACGCCGCGAGTTTGGTCCACCATCCTCGCTGTGCCAGGACGAACTTCCGGTCCCGAGCGCTTCTGCAAATCAAAGAAATCCGCAAGTTTTACCGTCAGATAAGCCAACGTATGCACAGTATTTATCTGAAAAACCAATTAATCAGGATCAATGCGGCCCTCCTAACAATTAGCCCTTTGCACTCGAGGGCTCCGCTATGGAGACAATGCAAATAATTTTCAGTTCATAACATAAGGACGAAGACAGATCGTAAAAACTATTATGTATAAGATATTCCGCTCTTGGTGACAAAAGATGGTCGAGGCTCGAAAAAAACAATAATGTACAACAATGATTTTTCTTTTAATGCGCATACCATTTACTTATACGTGAATATGATCTTTCCACTGAAATTGCTTCGAGTTGCTGGTAATATAAATGAAAAAAACTTTGAATACAAAGGGTTAGAATATAGATGCAAGTTCAAACTACAGCTTGGTGAAGTATTCAATTCTAAGCGACATTAAATGCAGAAGTTAATATGAAACTCTCCTAAATTTCAGAGATAAAAGTTACATCTTGAGCTACCAGACAACCACAAAAGACACTAAATTGCAGAGCTAACAGAACTCCTGAAGTATCATAGATCAAACCTTTAGGTACATATTTGATTATTAACACTAGATTTACAGAACGCGTCTATTCGATGTATACCGACTTAAACGCTATTTGCTAAAAGCTTCTATCAATTTCAATCGACGCAGTTACACGAATATCTTAATCCTTTTAAACTCGTAATTCCCAAATGAACGAACATCTACTCTTCTAGAAACAATAGAATAAATTGTACAATAAACGTCCGTAGATCTAGTGTCAAACGATCCTAACTAACGGTAAATACTACCGCCGATACAGAAGTTCCAAAGAGATGCACCCTGCGAAGATGCCTAACAGATACCGCCTCATTTATAGAATAAAAAACCGTCCAAACACGCAGAAGTTACCGGACTGTCCATCAGGATCAGCGGAAGACTGATCGATGAGTAAGTATCGTCGACGGTCCCGCGCGCGAGCAGCCCGTTCGGTCCGTCAAGAGGACCGGCGATCTTTTTTCGAAACAGGTTTCTAAATGTCGTAAGAGGGACCAGTTCTTCCATAAGCACGACCTTACGAACCCGATGTAGAGGAACGTTACGAGTCCGGTTGACCTCAGCCTCGCCCGTTATACGTCCCTTCGGATTGTTTTCGTAACGAGTATGTATACGGTGAAACTGGTACCATTAACCCGTGCCTCGTCAAGAACCACCGAGAGATCCTCGAAGACTGGTCCCCGCGGATAGAGAACAGCGAAAGAGGGAAGGAAAGAGTGCGAGGGACATTCCGCGGGCGCGGGGGAATTCTCGGATCGAGTTCTGCTACCCTTTTATCCGTGCATCCAGTCTCCGCTATCCGCCGGGGATCGTGTTAAGCTGCTCGCAATTTTTGCGCCGTAACGCGGAATGGTACCCCTTTCCCTGCGCTAGGATAGGGAACAATCACGACACGTCCCGGGCAATCTTCGGTCTCGTGTCTTGAGATGATCCTGCGGACGGGTCGCTCTATTTCTTTGATAACGGGGCTTGATTATTTAATTTTCCGGTAACTTTGGTACTTGGTGGTTTGACGACTTGGACATTTGGGAGCTTGACAATTTGGTGACTTGGAAATTTGGTAACTTGGAAACTTGGTGAAGTTGGTGACTTGGTAGTTTCGTAATTTGGTGACCTGATAACTTGGTAACTCAATGACTTGGTAACTTGGTAGCTTGATAACTTGGTAATTTGGTAATTTGGGGACTTGATTACTTCGAAATCTGGTGAATTTGGTAACTTGGTAATTTGGTGACTTGATACCTTGGTAACTCAATGACTTGGTAACTTGGGAGCTTAATAACTTGGTAATTTGATAATTTGGTGACTTCATAACTTGGTAACTTGGTGATATGATAATTTGGTAATTTGGTAACTTGTAACTTAGCAATTTGGCAATTTGATAACTTGCTGACTAAAAACTTCCTTAGTATTTTCCAAATCACTGAGCAGCAATCAGCGAAGACGAAGCCTCAACACCCCTCAATCCCCAGTAAATATCGAAGTATGAAAAAAAATAGAGTTCAAATACTCAGAACTGAACGGTTTAAGATCAGAAAGATATCTCAAGCGTTATTCCCAATGATCCGTGCGTCGCTAAGCGTATCTTAGTCTATGAATGGGTTCGGGCGAAGGTTGGAAACGGCGAACGGAACCGGCCCGTTCCGCGAGGACGCCGTCGAAGGAGAAGAGGAGGCGGTGGCAACGCGAAAGAAACACGCAATAGAAGAAACCGGCGACGAAGGAGACATCCGGACGAGGCGAGTCGAATAATTAATAATTGCCAGGAATGAAGACTCCCACCGGCTCGGATAGAGCAAAGTGGCCCTGGTAAACGGTGGAAATGACTCGGCTAGTTGGCCGTTTCCTCATTTGCCCGGTCCACGCTCTGGATCCGACACCCACCACTGGATTTAAGAGATTTTGCGGAATCCCGTCTCCTCCGCGCGGCTCCAACCAAGAGAAGAACACGGAGACACCCAACGAGAGAGATCGGATCACGTTAAATGGGTCGCATCCTCCGCCCACGCCCGCCGCGTTTTTCCTTTAACCCGGCTTCACCGAGCGCGTGAGATCGCGTGCTGGTAATCTCGACGCGTCTAGGCAGTAATTGGAACGATCGTTAATAGAATTTTGTGGAAAACGTTTCGTTCGATCGTAATCGGCGCTTCGGCGGGAAGAAACTTGGAACAATCAGGTGATCGGAGATTACTGGGGTGGCTGATTATTTTCAGGACCGAGTAGCTTCCTTTTAAAGACAAATGTCCGCAGCCTTTCTTAGAAGACAAAGTGAATAACTGGAGATTATCGGAGTGGCGAATTACTTTGATGAAGATTCTTCAATATTATCCCTTTCATTTAACAAAACGAATTAAGGGATGGAATTTCGAAGAGCTTACAGCGCGTTCCACCCGTGAGTAACCCCAAGATGCCTCGCTCGATCAGGTGTTCCTCCGGTTGTGCAACAGAAATCTCGTGCACGTATCGGGCCACTCGCCCAATTGGCATCCCGCGTGACTCACGCGCGCCTCTTCTTGCAGAAAGAGAGACAAGGCGGATCGGGTGAGCACGCAATAAATAGAAGCCGAGCTACCGAACGGCACCCAGCTGATCCACTGTCGTCGGGAATTCGTCTACGCGGCTGCCAAGAGGAATCGGATGAGCGGCGCGTTGTCCCGTTCATGGAGAACGCTTCTGAACAGCCGCTTCTCAATGTCTCTTAACAATTACATTGTAGACCACCATACAACTTTATTATACATTGCACAGAATAATCTGTATTACAATCTGTACAATTATTTGCCATCATACTACCTCCAAAACACGGTACGTTTCAATCTTCCATAACCAGCCATCCCATCCCTTAAAAATCTCAACCCTTAACATCCAAACAGACCGCACCATTAATCATTACAACTCGTTAAAACAAACAACAGAAATCATTGAAATAGACCACCCTCGATTATCTCTATTCCACTCATCATCCCTCTCAACCCTAAAAAAATCGTTTCTCCGCAAGCTTCCAAGTTAATCGACTCCAACGTGCAACCCTTGAAAACAGGGGAGGCACTATAAAAAATCGGCAAGAGAAGGACCAAAGGCTAGTCGAGGGATCCGAGGGGGTTTTATTTAGAGTCTCGATTCCGTCCAATCAGCGGCGATGTGTCATCGGCGCGAAAATAGTCGCACTTAACACTGGCAGCTCTTTTCTGCGCGACCTGCCGATGCCAGCCGTGTTGCATTGTGTTTTTGTCTTTCGGTCGTGTGCGTGTTCGCTCGTGCACGGCCTCTCCGCTCTCTCTTTTTCTCTCCCTGTACGGCTCTCTTCGCTCTCTCCTTCTATCCCCTTGTTCTCCTCGTCGCGTGTGGCTGCGTAATGTTGTCACCTCGTGCCCGTCGCTATTTATAGGCCGCTTCGACGTCGCTTATTAATAGGGGGCCGACTTAACGCCTTCGTTAATTGTGACTTATGTACGGGACGCGAACTCCGTCAGTCGACAGTGGTTTGCGCGGATTTACAAATCGCCATTGGCGTGGCGAGCCGCGCTGCCCGCGAAATTTCTTTGCCCCAACTTCGGCCCACCACCGGGCGCCACCCCCTAACTCCACGCGTTCCGATGATCGCGAGATCCGGACGATAGCTCGAACGATGCCTCGTTAACGTTGGAACTAGCTGATGAGGTCGAGATGACCCATTTCTGATTTCCTCGAAATCATTCGAGGGATACGAATGTTATTTGGGGAAATTATTGGATAAGTTAATTTAGTGGCGTGAGAATTAAGGTACTAGTCGAATGAAATTACGGTAAACGTACTGCTAGAATTCCTCTGGGAGAATAAGAAAGTCTATTTGACTACTGGCTAGTTGTAGTGTTAAGACTCATTAACACTGGAACTAGCAGATGGATCAACGTGGTACATTATCGATTTGTTCGGATATAATTACTGATAGGGATGGATGCTCGATTGAGAAATTACTGGAGAAATGATTGAGTAATGATTATACTTAAACGCAAGTCGATTGAAATGTTAATAAACGCGTGTTTATAGATTTTTATAGGAAAATTTGGGAAAGTTTAAATGTTTGATAGTTCAAGTGTTAATACTGGGTTTACGGAGATTTATTGTGCAGTTTATTGTATTGTTCTTATGAAAATTGATGTCTAGAAAGATTCGTTTCTTTAGATCTCGAAAATTAGAATCGATCAAAATAGACATAAAAGTTTACCGATGAATGTTCATAAAATTCAATACGCGTGAAATCGACGCAAACGCAGCGTTCAAGATAATTCATCCGAAGAAATGCTTGATAGATCGATAGTTTCGACGCTATTATTGGCAACGCCGATTCAATATTTCATTGTTACGATCAGGCTCCGAGGGAGCCCAGGATTTGCGTAATCGATTGATTTACTGATTAAGGACGTAGCCGCGAATCTGGCGGAAAATTTTAT